ATAACTACATCCCAGATAGCTTCTAACTTCTGGCGTAAAATCATACCCCACTTTTAACAGGTAGCTTCATTGCTGGTTATGTTTCCTTTGAGCTACTGCACTTAATTATAAGTTGAATTTACACTAGTTTGAAGAGATATGATATAAAGACATCTGCAAAATTACAAGCATTAGCCATCACTGCAAGCCTGCAATGAATGCCGGCCTTTTGTAACTTGTTCTTCCTGTTATGTGAGCATCACAATGATGACTTTTCAGTGATGGAAAACTTATCTCCATTGGACCGCTACACCCCAGCATAAGCAGGCCATACACAAAATGCTTTATCACTTGGATTAGCCCCGTGTTACAAGTACGCATGCTTACTTGCATACAGGGATACTCACAATGATACTTAAGTATTGGAAGCAATCTGGCCATGAAATATTGGATACATGTTATGAAGTACCAAACTACACACGTTACGAAGTACCAAAGGTACAAACACAAACAGAAGTCTTCAAATCCTGTACTCTGCCCTAGCGGCCTTCTAACAAGTTGAGATGTGAAACTAGCTGCTAGCTATCTTCCAGTATTTAACCTGCCCTGAAAAGTAAGATTTCTTTGTAGGCTGATTCAAACACTTTGCATATGTGAACTTTTCCTCATGAGTAATACCAACGAAACTAAGCAAAGCAGTGTGCCACACTGCAACTTACTGCTAAAATAGCTCATGATTACCTTTAAGAAGTATTTTGCTACAAGATTTCCTATAGACCACAGATACGTCTCAAATCACCTATATTCAAATGGATTAAGGAATACCATGCTTTCATAATATAATAGTGAAATTACTTCTTCTCCACATCTGCTATTGTGATGGGACCCTTAGCTGTAGGTTGAGATCGAGATTTCAGGTTTGTTCAGTAGTATGCAATGACATTGCTTGATATTTAGCTCCACCTATGGGCACCTCTACGCACCTCTTTCAATTCATTTAAATTTACTTAATGCTTTAGGGCTCTCATCACGCAGGTCTCCCCTACTTGCCCACAAAGAAAACAAAGCAGATTCACATTTCTGTTGAGAACTGCATTCAAATTAGGATGTAAGTTGCTACTCAAATCAAACATCACACAAAGTGGTTAATGGAAAGGAGAGGAATGAGAGAAAAAAGAGGAAAAAAACCTCCAGAAAATGGCATCTTGAAACACACAAACAGATTCAAGATCTCTCTTTAGAGATCAATACAAGATCAATTCCTTAGTTTCCAAAGCATTGCTATTGATTGACTCTTTTAAACCAGGTGCTTGTATACTAAGCAGTAAGCTTTGATTTTTTTATCCTTTTTGAAGTCAGAATTCTAATAGCTTCCTCAGGCAAAAGCTGACTTACAAGCTGTAACGCTGTAACAAGAAATGGCCACTTACCACGAGCTTCTGTTGATTTCTTGAATACTACAGATACACATAATTAGAAAGACAGACTATTATTTAACTTCCTGGACGAGAGGTAGACTGTTAGGAAACAACACCAAGACGACTTGACCAAAGTCTGTTTGAAAGCCTGGCAGGTTTTGAAAGACTCATTTGAAAGCTTTAGAAGAATTAACCAGAAAAGATCTTGAGAACCAGGGGATATAAGTGTATGACATATGGGAGAGGAAGAAGTAATCGCTGGATTTTGGCAGACACCACAGTATAAACTTCTAACCACTGAAATACACAGCAGCAGAGAACTCAAAGAGTTCCAGAACATGTCTAGATCTCACAGTGCCCCTAGGCACCCCAAAAAGCACAACGTATTCCTACAGAAGTAATTTGAGTCAATGGTAATGTCTACCTGAATGACACATAAAAGACCTCTTTAGCACTTTTATAGGCTTGGTATCAGAGTAACTCCAAATATTAAGACACAACACTCAGTGGTACAAAGACTCATAGACATATTTTCTACCTCTTCCTCCAGATTTCTGCAACAAGCCTTTTTTGGAAAACCTTTAACAAGGCTCCAGGTATGAAACCGAATAAAATGGATTTGGAAACAAGAGAGTTGTGAACAAAACACTGGTCAACCCTGAAATCCTGAGTATGAAATACAAGTACTCTGTGATGCAAGGAGCCTATCCTAGCAAGCAAGCATAGCAAGTTGAAAAGTAATTAATAGGTGATAAACGCTAAACAAATAGATACACGTCAAACTCCTGCTAATACTCTTGGGCTCTTTGCACATATATCCTTGGAGAAGCTTATCCTCACAGGACTTAAGAAATGGTAGACAGGCAGGACAGACACCATCAAAATTTCCAGAGATTTGGACAATGGTAGATAGCAGCCAGCATCACATTTACGAATCTGACAGAAGTACTGAAGGTATCACCACACACACAGAAAATCAGATATAATTTCATTAGGATCAATAAAGGACACGACAACTTGAGCATTAGGGGAATGTAGGAAAAGTTCTTAGTTACATTTAAGAGGTTTCATTCAAGTGGGATGCGGTAGTAATGAAACTGCCAACAAAACGAATTCCTGGCACAACTTCAACGGCAAGAAAACATGCACACACTCCAAGTGTAGGCAGGTCCGCATAAATAAAGTTAAAAGTAAAATTTAAGGAGATAAAGGACCTGCTTGATAGATGGTACGTGATGAACTCCAATGGGTAGGAAGAACAAAAGGTAAAGTAGAAGAAAGATTTCAAGACAGGACAAAGATACAGACACGCCCCCCCCCCCCCCCCAATCCCACCCCAACAAATTCACGCTCTACAAAAAGTATCGAGAGTACAAAGTAGAAGCTATAAACACATAACAACTCTAAATATGAAAGTCATTACTGACAGATTCCAAATCTAGCAGCAAGAGCAGCACCAGACTGAAGACTACTAAGAGTTCCTGTCAGTGTCCTCCATGTGCTGTGCTGTGCTGCCAGCATACAAGACCTTTGCAAAGCCTGTACCAAAATTCTGGAGCCACAGACACTGAGCTGTGCCTACCTTGGATAAAAGAAAAAAAGTAATTTCAGAAAGGAAATTCCTGTAAACCTTAGAGGCTCTGAGTCTCTGGGAAATATGGAAAAGCATCTTGTGGAAGAAGGGCAGGAGTAAGAGCAGGAAGGAACACTAGGAAAAACTGGAGCTTCCTGAGCTGGTCTTTGAGAGGCAGAATGTCCAAAACAGAACAAGTGACACGATTGACAGAAGTGACAAAGTGCCCCCTTCCTCCCTGTTCAACCTTTCAGACTTAAACTCCCATATTCTTTTCATACCTCAGATGGAGTTTACTACAGTAAAAAAACAACTGCCAGTTACTGAAAACAAAACAAACAACCCCAAAACAGGCAAGGTAAGTGATACGGAGTTCAAGTGTGATAGTCACTACTTTATCAAAGGAAATTTTGTCACTGAAGATAAATTCAGTCCTGCCAGATCCATCCTGTCACCTACTAATCGAGTCACCTTTGCGATCTTGCTTTATTCGCTGTAATGTACAGTACCTTGGTGGATGTCTTATCTTTGTTATTACTGGTTGTTTTGTTTTCTTCCTTTCAGACATGCAAGCGGGAATTATTAGAAGTATTAAGCAGTATAATCTTCTGAGAAATGTTTCTAAAGTGTGTTGGTTAAGCTAAAACCAAAGATGACTGAAGCAGTGTGACAACTGAACTTCAGACCTAGTAAGGGAATTTCTGAACTTAAAAGTCTATGCCTAAAGGTTGTCATTTTGTATGCTTGGAACTGGGAGAAGGTTCAAGACATAAGAGAACAAGCAAGTGAGCTTTAGAGAAAAAAAATCACAATTTCAAGTTAAAGAACTTGTCTTCCCCAAGACGTTTTCTCTAGTGCGACAAAGCAAAACTTGTCTAGGCAGGTGATTATGCCCAAGGCAAAATCCATGCTGTAACTGTTAAAATGGTATGAGAGAAGAGTTGCTGGAATTCATTCCTTCCCCACCCTTGACAAGTCTGGACTACACAAGAAGATCAACTAATACACTTGTCTGGTATTTCAAATATCAAAGTTACACCACTTGTGGCTGCTCTGGAAAACAAAATCCTCATCTTTAAAGAAACAAACTTCAGTCTTACATGTTGTTGAATTCAAGGTCCTTAATGTAGCAATGCATGCTCAAATGCATAAGCCAACACCAGGAATTTATGTCACCAAGCTGTCAGCAGGTCTTGCAAAATAACAAATGCTAGTGTTCCCTTACTAGATTTATGGAGACTGTGCATGCTTATGCAGAGGGCAAATGATAAAACATGGGCAATACTTCCAAAAAATAAAATAAATGAGGTTATCTATATGAAGCAGGATGGCTGTGTTGGAATTGCTATTCCAGATTCTATCCTTTGTTAGGACCAAGTTATTTCTGTTACTCTACACAAGAAATCCCCTGGATGGCCTGCTATTGATGAGCAGCAGCACTCTGCAATTTCAGATCACTTCTGTGTGTATAGAATGACTTCTTACAAACATCAACACTTTCCAGTTGTAAGTAAAGAAGAAATGATTTCTATCCATATCAGGAGAGAAACCTCCAATGTATTTTTGCATAACGTGTTTCGTAACACAAAGACAGTAACTAGATAAAGCCATTTGAATGCTGGTATATCTTCATATTTCAAGAACTTTAAAAATAGAATTATTGATGTTGTAGAAGAAAACTGGCAAGGATATTATGAATGCACAGGGATTACTATAGAATAGCGAGATGTTGATACCTTTATTAGGAAGCATGTCAATTTCAGGCACAGAAGAATCAGTTGTTAGTGGGAATATTCTGTACTGTATTTTATATGAATAAAAATATAGGAGACTCTCATAGTTTTCTTGAGATCATGCAAGACTCAAGCAGAGTGCTAGAAAGCTTTTTGCTAAATAAACTCTTTTGGTTGGTAAGGATATGACTTGGGACAATATCCTCACCTTTTTATTAAGTGAGAAGTGTTTGGAAGTTTAAAGTTCAGATTCTGGTGCAAAATCTTCAACTAGTTTCATGCATAAATACCACAACATTTACAAGAAGACAACAAAATATTTTAATTTAAATATGCTCAATACTATAGAACTGTATAAAATACCAACTAAGCATTCATTTGAACGTTAGAAAAAAAAACAAAATAAACCCAAGAAACAACAGGAAAAGCAAGCAGCACACTGCAGTAATAACAGAAGGTGGCACAACCCAGGATATACGAGCAGAAATGCAGGCAAGTTACTGTTTCACAACTGTTGTTTGCAACTGCCATCAGAATGGGAAACACACTGTAACCATCCCAAGACTTCCATGGTTTCTAGCGTCCACCTTGTTATGCAGATGCCAGTGTACTAAAAATGACAACCATATTAGTACTTAACATCATGTTCTTTTTGATTGAAAGGTAGCACTGATTTCTTCGGATTGCTAGGAAACAACCGCAACTACCCGGATTTCTAATGCAAAACAAATGCTTTAATTGGTAATCATAGAAAGATGGAAAAAGGACAGAACAGGAGTTATTCCAACAATTTTAAATTAAATGAAGTGACACACTAAGTCCAGCAGTAATTTGAAAAACATAGAAGAAATCTTGGAAAGGTTTAAAGGCAGTTGTAGCAAACCTACAAAGTTTCCCTCCTTTTTATTTATTTTGCATGTTAACAAGCAGTACATGTATCAAGCTGATTGTTACACCTTAGTAACACAAAATAATGTTATGCACCCCCATGTCCATAAAACATGGCTCCAGCAATACATGGCATTAGCTCTTCTTAACACTGTTAACACGGAGAGAGTGCTACTTGAGTTAGGTCCAAGTACCAGCGTTTGTTTCAGGGCACACCACTCAAACCAAGATCATACTGCAGGTATTACTGAAGTTCAATATATTCCTGCTCTCTGTAGTTGCAGGGTATCAATCTCTGTTTTGCTTAGTATTATAAAAGGCCTTCAGTAACATTGCACCACAGCTTGGAATGGTTTCATTACCTGTTTTTTAAAAAATACATTATCTATTTAAAAACCAAGGTGTGAACCTGGGCATTTCAGTCAATGTTTGCTTCAAATGGCACAGAATGGATGTCCCAGCTACAAAACACTTCCTCAGACCAACTCTGGCAAAAGCAAACAGAGAATCATTCTTTCATTTCTAAAAACATGTCGAGAGGCTTCACACATCTCCTTTCTAAAACTGTAAGTTACATATTTCCCCAGATTTCAGTTACTATCTCTTAAAAAGAAAAGAAAAAGAATCCTGAAATCTATTTCAAAGTGAGGATCTCCATTTAAAAAAAACAAGTAGTAAAATACACTTTTGTCTTCTTTCTTCCTCTGAACTTGTATGCCATGGGCTTCTGTCGTTTAACACTAACATATAAAAAGCCCTAAAGCTTCTCCAACAGATACCCATTACTTAAGTATGCATCATTACTTGGCATTAAACATTTCTAAATACCAGCTTATTTTGGAAGCAAAGCTAAGAAAGATTTTACTTATGGACATAGAAAGCCAGTAGAAAAAGGTACAAGTGTGTAGCTTGTAGAACAGTTCACATCGGGAATGAACGAGGAAAAGGCACTCCATCTCTCTTTGCTGTTCTACACACTGTGTGCAATTTTTCAATTACTGTTAAACCTTTGCTCACAAGAATGCAGATTCACATACTGAGTAGAGTTCACATCTCTCCAATATCATGGTTTTCACTGAAAAATGACATTGCTGTGAATATGCAACATTAGGTTTATTTATACATTTAAAAGTACTTTTTTTCCAAATGAGAAAGTCAAAGCTACCAAACTAGACGTTATTGAAGATATAAATTATTTGAACTTAAATAATTTAAAATTAACTTGTTTAAACAACTTTCCTATTGCACTTTTTCCATTGCGTTGCCAGATAAAACCCTACATAGGCATTTAAAAGGTTAAAATTTTAAAAGCACAAGTTACATAGCACCAAAATAAGGTGCTGAAGAAATCTTATGCCTGCTGGAAAATAAGTGCCAATAAAAACAAATATAAATATATATGTATATACACATCTAGTAGTAAGTCCAGGATGCTGAGATAATAAATACTTTAAATAATTCCCCAGATTTCCAGAAACATGTGAGAAACTATAGAAAATGCAAAGTTACTTTAGAAGACCAAGAATACACATGCACAAAATCTATTTTAAGAAAAAGGTTTAGAGTTCCCATACTTTAATCTTTAAAACCAGCTCTGTTATCGCTATGTACTCCACACAATGACTAGCCTATTAGTTTGATGATTTTTGTGAGTCAGAACAAAGAAAGCTTCCCCCAGCTGCTTTATAATGGAAGAGCTTATAGCACCCCCCCAAAAAAATAAACCTAGTTTGTCCTGTTATGTCTCAAAATGTCTTCTTCTGCCTATCTTTTGTTCCCAGCAATCTGGGAATACCCTCATGGCATCCATCAACTTGCAGCATCAAGAGTAAGGATGAAACTTCCTATATTTTTTCTGAGCAAACTTATATTGGAATTTCTCCTATTATAACTGCTGCTGTTGCCACCAAACCTGTGACCTGCTGTTTCCACAGTAAATTTTCCCCTTGCATATGTCTACTTGCAACCTTGGAAAAACAACAGCAGTTCAACTGAAATGGGTAGGAGTATAATCTGGCCGTCTCGTCTGAATAATTTTTGGTTTGGGTTTCTTTGTTTCTTCTTCCGTATCGTTTTCCTGGTCACTCTCACATACGTGGACGACAACACTAGGAGTAGTGTCAGTTGCAGCATGTAGCTCATACTTTTCTCCTGAAAGTTAAAATATTAGCAAAACTTGTTAAAAAGCATCCGTTCTGTAGAGAAGTATGAAAGAAATTGAGAAGAGGAATACATAAAAATGCATAAGTAATACCCTTGACAACAATCTGATGCCACAAGGCATTAGATGGTGCAGGCAAGTGCATTGCCAATAGTCACATTTACCACTCCAAAATATTTTGGTTCTGTTTTCAAATCAACATAGCTCAGCTGCTTGCTTAAAAGCAAGTTTATGTATATTACCCTAGGTATTCAAGAAAGCATTCTACATGAGCAGTTGTAAGTCTCCTTGGTGGGTTTTTGTAATTTTAAAGCGTGCAAGATTATCTATCCACTGTACCACATTCAGGAAGACTCGGTTTTCCTGAATGACAGCAAAACCACAGGATCTTCCTTCCCCAAAAAACCTTTCAGTTTAAGAAAGCTGTATACAGCTCTTCCCACTTCACACAGAGGTGCTCTAACACCGTTCTGGCATTCTGTGGAGGAGCAGAGCTAGTTAGCAGGCTTCATGCACATCTAATGTCAAACACTCATATAATACAACCAGTGTGTAGAAGTGCTATGATACAAATTTTATTGAACACTGATATGCAGTCTAGTTTTTCAGTAATAAAAGAATTGCTTTTATGTCTAATCTTACATTATGTCAGGGAAAGGGCAAACTATTTCCTTTCACCACTTCCCTGATCAGCTCCCCTGAATTTTTTTCCTTGTCACTTTATACTCACAACCTCTCAGTGGAAAGAACAGTCTCCATTAAGACCACTACAGTGATATGCACATCAGCTGTTCAGAAGAGCTAACACCTGTGGCAAGCAGCACACTCTAGTGTGTCAAGGCTCTGAAGTGGTCTCTGCTGTTTCCCTCAGAATTTCATGAAGAGGAACTGGTGCAACAAGTAGCTCCATAGAGGAAAAAGCTCTTGCCTCCAGTTCTTCAGAAACACACAAGCCATTGTGCTAGAGTAACCTCACTTGCCCCTTGGTACCAAGTCATTAACTCCATATTCCAACATCACGATCAAGAGGCAAGCTTTACAGAGCTCAACATTCACAATATACATGAAAAATCTCATAGGAAAAAGGATCACAGATCTGTCAATGAGCTTACTGCAGGGCATGTCAATAACACAGCTTTCAGGGGGAAAAGGACCAACTCTTACTGCTTAATAAGCCCTTAAGTATTTAAGATCTCCTGGCATCTTTTTGGTATTGCTAAAACTTAAAAGGAAACTTTTAATTACTATGTGTGTATGAAACTACCGTTTACTCATACTTCTTTTCTGACATCTCAAGTTTACATGGTTGAGAGTAATTAACTCGAAAAGTTCTAGAAATTTAGATAGTTTAAAAGGTGGTTTACTCAAAAAAAATTCCAGTGTTTCTACTCCTCCTTACCTGGTCCTAACTTGGAGATAGCATATAAAAGGTCATAGTTAATGACTGGAGTAGCATCTTCCACTTGCTTCCAGCCAACAGGTGGAGAGGCAGGAGGTGAAATCAAAAACTGTTTGTCAGGATTCGGTGGTGCCAAATGTGAGCTTCCAATGTGTAAAGTCTGGAAAAAGCAATAAAAGCCAATGCTGTTTCACGATTATCAATGAATCCATCATTCATGAGCAGTTTTAAGGTTTGGATAGATGTGATGCTGTAACAGGCACTCAAGGTGGCAGCACGTAACTATATTATTGAAGAGAGCTATATGAAAGACTCAGTATACAAAATACAGACAAGCCACCACATTCATTAACTCTGATGAAACATGCAATGAATTATGCACATCCACATCTTATCACGGATTTCTACAAGAATTTCACCAGAAATTATCTGCCCTTAAAATACTGAAGTAGGAGGAAGCTGGATATGGGCTTTAAGGCCTAATGACAAATGGTGTTGAAACTCATTACCACAAGTGAGAGTGGTGAGAATTCTAGAAGGTATATAAATAAACTGGCTCCTTCAGGACTGTCCCTAGGGACATCTGAAACAGACACACATAGATTAATTTTCCCATTTAATTTGCGGAGGAAAATACACAGCAGCTACCAAAAAAACCCCAGATTACCAGAACCTGAGTTTCACCTCTTTAGCAGCAGAGCTAGCCACCTATACAGCTGCACTGATAGTGATCTCCAAGCGCACACATGTGTTAAACAAACGATTTGCAGCAGTGAGAGCAGGGTCACCTGCAGCTCTTTGGATTCCCTCAGATACTGCTTGAGCAAGCATGTGTGTAAGGGTGTACTGCTGGCAGAGCTACTTTCCCCACCCCATGAACTCCTTTGACTGTGCTGATTACTGTCATCTACTCCCTTTCCCCCAGATTATCAAAACAATACAGAGGGAGACATAAATGCGAAGTATGCAACACCTCCAAATACTTGTAGCTTTGGAATAACCTGTGATTCTCTAATCAAACTGAAAAAAATTAAGTGCTCATTAGCATGACTGAAGACTTGTCGAAACTTATCAGGGTTAAGTTATGCTTTAGTACTTTGTAAGGATAATCACAAGACTCACCTGAGCAAAATACAGTTTTATTTCCTTTCCAAGGAACTCTGTCTTGTGCAACTGGATTCTAGCATCTGCTGCAGATAAAGGGTTACTGAAATTTATTCGTACTCTTTTGAAGCTCTTGAAATACTGAAAGGTGATATCTCTGTCGAATGTTCTAAACAGTGATTCAAATTTGGCCTGAAAAGAAAGGACCAGAGAAGAAAGTTAACAGGCAAAACACTACAGTTTCTTTAAAGAAATACAGAAATAAACTGCAGTTACTAGTAGCAGCATACTACTACTCTTGAATATTGATCTATTTATAACAGCTTAGATTTAGTTTTCTTCTCTCTTTTTATAAGAAATTTGTTTAACCTAGCACTTGTTGTCTATATAGCAGCTTATTTCTTCTTTACTGAAAATGGATTATTATTAGTGTTGGACATGATACTCCGAGTTAGTGACACAAAGAAATAACAGTATTGGTAACAAATTGAAAAGAAATGCTTGCCTTATAAAATTAATATACAAAAAAAAGTCTGTCAGGCACATCTTTGTCTGAGAATGCAATTTTCAAGGAAACCAACACGAGAGTTTTAATAGAAGAAAATGTAAAAACCAAAAAAAAAAAAAAAACCAACAAAACATATTTGCAACGTAAATGTTATTTTTCTGCAGTGTCTCAGCATGCATAATAAAGTTCATGAACATCTCCTGTTTTAATAGCTGCTACTTTAAGAAAATTAACATACTCTTACTGCACTCTGGTTTTACAGCCTCTTCTATTTTTGGAACTGAATTCTAAAAAAGCTCTATCTTTCCTAAAAAAATCTTCAGGACGAACCATACAGCTTCTAAAGTACCTTTGGCACATTCCTTGTTTTGACTGTATGGTAAGAGCAGGAACTGGACCAAAACCTTATACATTCATAGATCTGCAGCTGTCACTTTGCTGTCCTATCTTTGTGAGAGACTGAAACACCTTTGCCATCAGCTGGCTATTTTCATTTTAAGCTTCAGGTTTGTGCTCCTAGGGCATCTATGCAAACCTGACTTGGCTATTTTTCGTATCATTTACATGAAGAGTGCTTCCAGTCTTACTTTATGATGCCACACAAAAAGATGAGAAAGCAGCAGGAGGTTCTGAAGCTGCTATGCTTTTGCAAAGTGTTTCATGCTCACCCTGAGAACACAGTAACCAGTCACAAGCCTTTTTTCAGTGATGGCAATAGATCAGACATTCAGATTTCAGGTATTTTTTTCTCTTCATAAAAGCTTACTAGAAGATCAATACAAAGCCAAAATAAACAAGTAAGTAAAATCACACTGCCTCTTTTTTTACTGTTACTCTTTGAATTAGTAGGGAAAAGCAACAAACACTACATAAGAAGGCAGCGATTACTTCAAAATTCATTTTCCTTCCTGAAAAGTTCTGTTTCACAGACTCTCCACAGCCGTGTACAGAACCAGTACGTATCAAAGATAAAGTATCAGAGCTGTCCTGCTTCTTGCTGAGCTGCACTTAAGCTTCTTCAAAACGAGCTCTGAAACAAGGCGAGGACCCTCTACACACAAAGCCTGTATCTGTTAGCCTCCTATACTCTGAGAGCGCTGGATGCAACCACAAAAAGTAAGTAAAACCCACAGTAAGTTACATTTTAAAGTTCCCATTCGACACAAATTGAGAGAGTACCTGCAAGATTTGTGCAATACATATATATTTTTTTAAACGTGTGATTCTAGAGGTCATAAGTGTCGTGCTAGCAATACAACAGTAAACAAAATGTTATTTTCATCCCTAAGGTATCCTAGCAGTCAAAAATTCCCTGTATCAGGACTGGATTACTTACATTATGTTAATTCTAATCAGTTAAATATAAACCTGAGAGGACTTCTTATAGTTTTAACATTATGCTCTTAGCTACAGTGCCAGCCAAAAAAAACACCACCATGGAAAGCATAAAGTGTGCTATAAATTATGTGAAACTTACCACCAAAATCATACTTTAAACATCTGCTGAAAGCACATATACAAGTGAAGAGTGCTCTATACAGACAGTCAAAGAAGTCTGGAGGTAAACTTCTGATCATTTTCAAACCCACACAATTTAAGTTACAGTAATTTCCAGAGTTCGTAATTCATGTCAGAGCATACTGTTGCAGACTTCTAAGACCCAAGACCCTTACATCAAACTGAAATTTTCTCACAAGTCATAAAGGTATCAAGGTATTTTAGAGAATTTGAAACAGCAGCTACATACTTCAGTAGTTCACAGGAATAAACCACAAAAGATAGAACATACCCTTGTTTCTGCTTGATTGAAGACATCGCTATCTGCCACGCAGGCAATCAGAGAACTAAAACTGTAGTTAAAATTTCTGAAATGCATTTTATGCTTCACTAAAGCAACGCTTGCTGCTCCGCAAGAAGCCGAGGACTTAAGGAAGCCGTTGGTCCTGCAGGCAGCGTTTATAAGGGAAACAAGTCCAGCCCCTCAACGAAAAAAAACAAAAGGAAAGCAAAAGAAAGGTTTCAGAGCATCCTGTATGTGACAGCGAATTCCTCAACAAAGTCCTGCATGCTTGGAGGCAGTCGGGAACAAAATGTGAGCTGCGACTGGAAAGAGGTGACGTCAGCACATTAGTCAGCTTCCCTATGCTAATTACCAGTGCTCGGGAGGATGGAAAAAACAGCTGAGGTTTGCACAGCAGCTGCTTTCTCGAGCCTCTCGCAGCATAGTTTCCACTGGTAGTAATTCCATTCAGCACTCAGACAACATGCTCTTCACTGGAATGGGACAACCCATCTTAAGATGGAAAATGTTGCTGCTAAAGGACCAAAGTCTAGAGTAATAGGCTGTAATTAGCCAGGAGGAAAATTGCAAGACTTCGGAATGGAAAACAAATCCCTCAGGTCAAGAGCTTTTGGTAATTTTGTGGAAAAATACACAGACTGATATTTAGAGATTAGGAGGAATCGATTTGGGAAAATACTTTTTCCCCCCATTACAGTGAGAAGTCTTTTTGAAGCTTTCTTCAAAGCAACTATATGGACTAATTACCATTCTCACTTTATTAAAAACCTCATTCCGAGCTTCATAAACTGCTGAGACTTTTTGTTTGGGGATTTTTTTTACTTTTCTTTAACCAGGACCATCACAAGAAATCTGGTGGCAGTGTTTTAAGAGACACCCTGAACTACTGACAGTAGCGATGAGGCATGAAACCTACATTTCTGGCATTTTGTGGTTTATCCAGATCCCAGCTTCAGAACATTTCCCACAAAGCAGCATAGAACAGGCTTTTGTGGGGGGAGTTTTGGGGTTTGTGGTGTTTTTTTTTTTGCCTTAAAAAGAAATAAGAAAAAAAAATAGTCAAGAACTGTTTAAAAATTCGGTAATATTTGAAGTAATTCACTAAGTTTAAACTGAAGCTCTTACAAGCTATTTGGAACTCTCCTTTTCAGCTTCAAATCAAAGTTTATTATAAAGTCAAAAATCCTAAGTGCAATTTAGTTCATGTTACTGTACGGGGCTCTGACAGAACCATAGTTTTATGAAATACTTGCAGACAGTCATAATTTTAAAACCTTATTTCATAAATATTTAATCATGGGCAACTACTCACATGAATAGCCTCTTTTATTTCCAGTGGTTCTACTTACTTGCTCTAAGTTAAAGATGCTTATTGTGCCACAGTCTAAAATTCTCCATTTACCAGTCAAACTCTCTGCTATTGTAAAGTTACCTTGGCGTGAAAGAGTACTCAGACCAACTTCCTAGCACCTTTTCTTAGAAGCCCTTGAAAATAAGCTCAGCACAAGAAAAGAGAAGGTGCTTGGAAGAACAACTCAACAATTGGTATAGATGCTGTCATGGAGATTAAAATCAACTCTGAAAGACAGCAACAGGTAACAACCCTCCACAGTTCTCCAGGACCACCTAACATACTGGGTACCTGAGGGACAGAAAAGATAGGGAGAAACAGCAGCTCCCTTCTTCCCCCTGACCTCCCAGGAAGATGGGATGCAGTGGCCATCCAGCTCCTCAGCACTACCAAGATCTGGACTGGGCACACATACAGTGAGAACACTTCCAAGCCCATGACCTGTACCCAGAAACACAGATACCTGATGACTCATAAACAGCCATCATGCCAAGCAGGGAACCTGAACTCACACAGAAAATCATGCCGAGTATGTCTTGAATCCCTTGCCCTGGAATTAGGTCGTCAAGTGTCTTAAAGACTTCGGAAGTGGAAGCACCAAGTATGACTCTGTAGACCAGTGGTGAGGATGCTCATCTGGAAAATATGGCCATGAATCACCTGAGCACAAAAGGAAAACAGGCTTTCCACATCCTAGGTGAATGCTATAGTTGCTGATAAGAAAGTAAAGAAGGTCCCCCCCTTCAACCTGCTAATGAGTCAGTCATTTAGCATACTCTGAGGCTACCAAGCTGCCTGCATCACCTCTGTGGGTGACAGGTAGAAAGAATATTTGAGCCTCACAAGGCCTACACAGGAGGCAGTCACAAGCTTCTGAAGCCTTTGGCAGCCTAGCTGCAGACCTTTATATAGCTAAGTCCTAGGAGTCCACTGGCTGTAAAAGTCTTCAAAAGCCCCGTTTTGGACTTCACAGCTTAAAGTAGGATAGGTAGATGTCATGTACTTGCATTCCTTTGTAACTATAGACTGAGACTTTTATGCCCAGATCCCATGAAGAGTTAAGATATTAAAAATACCTCTGATTGCTATCCTCAAGGCCACCTACACATTACTGGGACCTAAAGAAAATTAGTTTACAAGTCTTTCAGATATAACCGTCATCTAAACTGGGACTGTAGCCTGCCTGTACTGCTGTAAACAAACCATCTCTTTTTGAGAACATCTAACATGTCACAAAATAGTTTTTCCCAGTGCTCTCTGGATGTAAAATAAACATTGAGTCTTCTATTGATACATACTAGGTCTTCCCTTTGCCCAGCTAAAAGGACAAAGAAAATAAAGCAGTCCTAATCTGTTCTATTTTACCCTTAATATTTTTGCTAAGGTTGCATTACCAGTCTCTCTTAAAGAAACAATTTGAGAAAGAAAAAAAAAAAAAAGATGGTTGCACACTACTCCATTCACAACACAGAATAACTTGAGAATTAGTATTCTGTGGGAGGAGAAATCCCTTTGAACTGGTACAATATCCT